GGAAGCTTATGGTGAACATGCTCCATCTCAAGATACTTGTGAACACTGGTTTAAACGCTTTAAAAGTGATGATTTCGATGTGAAAGACAAAGAACGTCCAGGTCAACCAAAAAAGCTTGCAGACCAACAATTACAAGCATTATTGGATGAAGATGCGTGTCAAACTCAAAAACAACTTGCAGAAAGATTAAACGTTGCTCAGCAAACAATTTCCTATCATTTACACGCAATGGGATTTTAAAGCAGTGGTTCTCAACCTTGGCTGCACATTAGAATCACCTGGGAATCTTTTTAAAATCCTGATTTCTGGGCCTCATCCTTCAGAAATTATGTTTCTTTGTTACTAATGTGGCCCCACCCCATAACAAAGAAACAGAATTTCCGGAGGATGAGGCCCGGAAATCAGGATTTTAAAAAGATTCCCAGGTGATTCTAATGTGCAGCCAAGGTTGAGAACCACTGCTTTAAAATCCCATTGCGTGTAAATGATAGGAAATTGTTTGCTGAGCAACGTTTAATCTTTCTGCAAGTTGTTTTTGAGTTTGACACGCATCTTCATCCAATAATGCTTGTAATTGTTGGTCTGCAAGCTTTTTTGGTTGACCTGGACGTTCTTTGTCTTTCACATCGAAATCATCACTTTTAAAGCGTTTAAACCAGTGTTCACAAGTATCTTGAGATGGAGCATGTTCACCATAAGCTTCCTGAAGTATACGATAACTTTCAGCAGCACTTTTCTTCAAAATAATGAATTAAAACTTCCCGCAAATGCTCTTTTTTTGGCATGAAATTTGACATTTTTAAGTGTAAAAATACCTTAACACCTTCAGAAAATTTGACACGTGAAGTTTTGAAGCTTGTTGTCAATACAACAAAATAGCATACATATCAAATCGCATATATATCACCATATGTGTAACTCCATCTAGTGAAAAAAATCCGCATTATTAACCGGTACACCTACTAATTGACTAGCATGGTAAATGCACGGCGCTAACCCGCTGGACTAGACTTGGAGACGTTAACCTCCTGGCTGTGGGCCTGGGGGTTCGGAAATGTGATTTCCGCGGCTGTAGTTACTGTTTTATGTCACATTGACCGGCACGTTTACGATTTTTAACAACAGTCTTAAAGAGTCCGGTGCCTCTGTTGAGAGTTTAGTGTGAGTGTAAAAAGTCACTAACGGAGGAGTGAAGAGATCCATGTTCACGCTGTTTGCATCACACGGTGGCCCTCAGGCGGCGGGGCGTCTGGCACAGGAGTTTCAGCTCCCAAGTCGCCGCGCTCGTGTGCGGGGAGGCGGGCGGGACGCAAGACAAGTTAGACAGGAAGGCGAAGAGGGCGCCGGGAACGGAGGGGCCGGCGAGAGCCAGAGGAGAAAAGAAATGAAAAACGGACCTAAGGTTCCTTAACCCGGCCTTAGGCGGGGCTCCCCAGAGCAGGGCGATGGGGACCCCTGTTATCCTTGGGTTTGGCTGGGGAGGGCAAGAGGAGGGGCGCCCCAAGCCGGGGGCCCGCGAGTTTGCGCCCCTCGGTGCCACTTTTGTTCTCTGCTCGGGGCGCCGGGC